TGTAAACGCTCTGATCACTTCATTCCGCTTCATCTTTATTCACCAAGATTTCTCTATAACTTCACTTTTCACAACTTGATTGAAGCGTCTCGTACTCCTCCAGTTATTCCACTGTTGAAGTTTGTGTGGCTCTACTCTTCTTCGTTCTCTAGATGGCTCCCATCCGAGACTCCAACATTTTTCCATTTAGAACTCGCACTAGGTGTGGCTCTTACACTGAACAAAATGTTAAACTACGTTCTTCTAACCAAAACAGACCGACATAATTTATTAAATTAAACAAGCATGCACAATAAACTTATAAACTATTCAATCATCCTAGGACTTAAAAGGAAACAACACACTCTAGCGCGAGACTATAGATACCAAGATATTATTTTCCATAATTTTTTTTTTAAAAAATTTTAACGTTTCCGAAAATATTTTACAACATTTTTAAAAACATATGGTCTTCTATGACAGCCTTCCAAGTTAGAACCGACTTGGCTAACCTAGGCTCTAATACATATATAATTAGAAATATAGATCTATCACTAAACTATTTTTAGCAGTAGCATATAGGGTATCATCCTTTTGTTTGCTTACTAGTGATCGATGTTTAAAAGTATCTATGTTATTAATTCATCTATCACTACTCATATTTTTCTAATTAATAAGAAACTTTGGTTTTTTTTGGATAAATTTTTAAATAATAAACGTAGTTTTGAAATTAGAAAACTTAAGGAAAGTGTACAATGTAGTGAATTGAAATACCAAAAACAAAAGCTCAAAAAATAGTTATCGAAAAAAGGCTCAAGAAATTAGACCAGAAATAAAGAAAAAACACACTTCGTATTCAAGTAATTGACAATCTTTGAACAAAGCACAACATATATATATTTTTTTCGTTCACCATTAGTCTCATAAGTATCCCTTTCTCTACCCAAGAAGACCAGAATCCAAACCCTAATCAAAACCAAATTAATGAAAATGCTTTATTTTATGATAAAAAGACTACAGTAAAGCACCGGAATTAATATAATTGATAGTACTACTCCAGACCTCTCTCCCTGAATCAATCTGATCAAGATGACCATGACCAGCTCCTCCTCCGCCTCCCATGTTCATCTGCTGCCACGGGAATCCCCACAAGACCCTGTTAGGATCAGTTATCGCCATCTGATCCAATCCGCTTCCACCACTTCCAAACGCATATCCCGCGTTCTCCATCTGCTGACTTGTAGTCCCAAACACACCATCAATGCCCATCGGAGACTGAGAGCTTCCGAATTCAGAAGGAAACCCTAGAGGTTGCTTGTTCAGAAAGGCCAATGCTAACCCAAGCTCCATATGTTCATTGTTCAAGTTGTTATTATAACCGCCAAAACTCGCCGCCGGGAATGTTTTGCCGTCGTAAGTCACCGTCGATGGTTCAGGGGTGGTTCTGAGACTTTTAGTGGTGGAGGAGGAGCGTTTGTGTTTCCGGTAAGCACCACCGATTGGTATGTTCCTTAGGATGCCTCCTTTAGTCCAATATCTCCGACAAGATTTGCAGAAGTAGCGAGGCTGAGAGAGACTGTAGTTGTTGTAGTAACAAAACTTTGTGTTGGTGGAGTCGCAACGAGGGCATCTCAGTGATTGCTCCGGTGGAGCTTGCCTAAACGCCTGCGATGGTTTCTTCTGGTTCTGATAATCTTGTGAAGATACTACTCCCACCATGTTCTATAACAATCAAATTTAAATGTATATCAAAACCTAATTATTCTCTAAAACAAAATAATCATTGATTAAATGTGATCTTGATTAATTAGTACCTGGTGCATCGAAGAGTAATCCATCTCAGCTCAACAACTCCGAGAAGCCTTCTTTGAAATGTAGAGG